CCCCAAAAGGGGGAGAGGAACCCGGGGGAAATTCTTTTTGGGGAACCAGAAATTTTTCCTCCCAATTGGGGGGGGGGGAGGGAAGCGCCCAAGGTTTTTTTTAAGCCCCGGGCCCCCCCCCCGCCGGGGGGTTAGGTTTTTTTGGAAAACCCGGGGTTTTGGTTGGCCTTCCCCCAACCGGAAAAGGTTTAAACCTTTTTCCCCGGCCAAAACAAAAATTTACCCCCCTTTTATTTGTTGTTTGTAAAATAAACCCGCCTTTTCCCCCAAGGGAGGTTTTCTCCCCGGGGTTTTTTTGATTTTTGTTCCGCCCCAGTGGCCGCGGCACCCCCTTCACCGGGGGGAAAAGGCATCCCGCGGGCGGCAGGGGGGGCAGCAATGTTCCCAGGGGCACCCCCCAAAAAAAAGGAGGGGGTACACCCATAAGGTTTAAGGTGTGGCCCCCCCCCCCTCCCTTTTTGTTGTTTTTCCCCCCCTGCGGGCCGGAGGCACCCCCCCCCCCCCCCCCCCCGGTATCATACGAAATATTGCAAACCACGGGACTCTCCCCACCTCGTCGCTGATGTACCCCGCCTGTCGGCCCGTCTTCGGGTCCACATAGGCGTGCAGCTCCTCCACCGTATCGGCGAAGGACGGGCTCGTCGCGCGCTGCAGGTTTGATACCGAGATCCTCGCCGCCAGCCGGGCGTAGTGCGGGTGCTCCGTGTTCATGTAGGCGCAGGTCTCGGCGGCGAGGGTGTCGAGCTCCCACGTCGTCACGCCGCTGTAGATGCCCTGCACCACCTGCGACGACCACCATAAAAATAAGAGATGACAACAATAGCGTGTGGGATGACCGGGGTTGGGGGTGAGGGCCTGTATTAACGTTTTATGTTTATTTTTGTAACCTAAATTGAATACCTGAATTGGATTAACCAATTTGCGTTTTTGGTCAAAAAGGGCTTGCGTCGTTTTAACGCATTTTTGCAACACCGAAGTTCAGCAACACCCAAAGGCGGCGGAATCGCTGCCGCGAGGTGACGTGGTGACCTAACAGGTAGAGCGATAGACCATGTGCACCACACGGGAGCTGTAAAAACATATCAGCACACACACGAAGCTAAGCATCAGCAGGTGGTGCCAGCGGTCCAAGCCTCATCCTCAGGCTTGCTCTACAAACTGTTGTTTGGACCGTCTGGCTGCACACAACCGGCCGTTGACTTTTGACATCGCACATATTGGAAAGCAACTTCCTCAGCAACCCAACCAGCGCGAAAATTTGGCACGCTCACAGATTCATTGCAATGCAGCTATCTCCCAGCAGCGGGCAGTGAGCGATGCGTGTGGGTGCCGCACGGCCAGTGTGCCACATGCAGTCCCGTCAGGGGTAACGCCAGCACGAGTTCAGCTCATCACGGGGGGGTGCAAAAGGGGCGCAGTGCAACTCGGGTACTTCGATTCAGCACAAAACAATTTCAATTTGCAATTGTTTTTTGCTGCACCCAATATCGAAGCCCCGCTTTTCCGGGCAGAGAAAGCCTCATCGTGTTTTTCCCTGTGGACCAATCAGCGTCTTTGGCCCCCGCCCCCCCCCCCCCCGAAATTATGTTTTGCAGGGGCCCCATTTAAGAACAAAATTAAAACTTTAATGGAGGGCCTGAAGGGACACATCCTCTGGATGGGGTACTAGCTGTAGGTGGCAAGGGCGATAGTGTGGGTGTCCACCTACCACGCTGCCGTAGTCCCCTTGTACCACCTGCGATAACGACGAGAGTACCGTAGGTTGCACAAGATATCACACCCCCTGGACCGATTTTCGAAGCTCGACTACTCCACGACGAAGAGGATGCCGAAACTGAAGTACCATACGTTTTCGGAAAGCTTTCGACGAGACGGTCCCAACGCCACCATTTTTCGGCACCGTCAATGCTTTTCTTGCCGAGATATCGAGCTTCGAAAATCAGTCCAGGGGGTGTGATGTCTTATGCAACCTACGGTAGGTATGAGAAGAAGAATGACGCGCTTGGGGCGACTGCTGCGTCCGCGCTGCCAGGGTTCGGGGGTGAGGGGATATCTCAATTGAGGAGAGGAGGGGCGGGGGCGAAGGACGAGCGTGTGGGTCCCGCTCCCACATGTTGGCGTCGCTACCGACCCGCACGATAGGAAATTGCCTTGTTTGCCTCTTTCCAGAGCTCCTATACTCCGAAGTGACGCCGGGTGATGGTGTAACTAGCCTTCTCCTCTTCGGCAACTTCTGTTTTTCGTCTTTGCTGTTGTTGTTGTCGTTGTCGTTGTCGTTGTTGTTGTTCATATTGTTGTCCTTGTTGCTTTCGCCTCGAAGAAAAAACACCGTTCTGGCTTCTGTGTCCGGACGGTACCGCCTCGTCCTGGCCAACCTCACAGGAATTTCCGAAAGGCCACAGGCCAAATCCAAAAATGCCAGTTTTTGACCTGAAGAAGAACATTCCTAACAACTTGGATAACCCGCACTTGCTGCAATAGATATCTCCAAGCAACCGTAGTGGAGAGAAATCGAAGAGACATGCATGGGAGGAGGAACGTCGGAGGGAAAGGAAGCCTTCTGACCTCTGCTCGACACAGGAATGGCTTCAGCAAGAGAGATCCAAAAGCTGCGTGGATAAATTGAAAGGACGAGGAAGACAAATACAGAGGCAGTCAGGCGGATGCTGGTTCAGGTCACCTTCTGCGCCACGAGGACCGGGTCGATATACCGCTCGTCAAGCCCCCAGCACAGCCGCCGGATGCGGGCCGTAATCTTGTCGAACATGACGGGCTCGCGGCGACCGTCCCGCTTCACCACGTGCATCGACGGCGCCCCCCCCCTCTCTCCCTCCTCCAACAAAAACGCCTCCTCTTCCGAAGACGGCGACTGCTGTAACCGCCCGTCTTCGTCCCTCTCCTCCTTCCCCCCGCCTCGGTCACTGCTGTTTCTATCCTCCTCTGCTGCTATTGCCCCGCCGCCGCCGGCCCCTTGTTCATCCATCCTTCTCGGCGCGACATCAACACCGCCACCTCCGCCGCTATTATTAACAACTCCAACGCCGCCGCTGCTGCTAGCGCTGTTCCGTGGCTGCGAGGAGGGGGCGGACTCCTCCTCGGCCTCCATCCGCGGAGCCCCCTCTCGTAACCGGGAGGATTGGCTTCGGGCCCAACCTCTCGCTGCCGCCGCTGACGCGTCCCGTGCTCCGTCGCTCTCTTGTGGCGGGGCTCCTCGCGGTTGCTGGAAAGAAAATCAAGGGGCATAGAGGGGAGGCTTCGGTAAAGGCTTGTAGGCTATAGAAGCCGAAATCAAACCATGAGAATAATAGTCAGCGGTGACTACATAGCCTAATTATGGTTTGGTTTTGGCTTCTATAGGGCGGGGGAATACAGAGCACTGCGGGGATATGGCGATGGTTGGATTATTGGATGGGTTGTTAGATTTACAATACATGACGACCAGAAATAGTAGATGCCGCCCCGGTACTCTGGAGAGGGTAGGGGGGGCAGGGCTGGCTTTTTCGCCGTTTATGCCGCGTGTTTTTCGATGCTGCAAAGTCACCCTTGGTTGATGTACATGTCTACCCGCAGGACTATTTTTGTAGTTTTTTCTTCAGGTCAAAAGTGGCCCAGGGAGGCTGGCCCACGGAAGCAAACCAAAGGCTGGTAGTTGTATGCAAGCAGGGCAAGGTTCCAAAAAGCAGCATCATTGGGAGATCTGCTCGCTCGGTTGCTGCGTGACGAAACGTGACTTATGCAAGAGAAAACAAGAAATAAACACCCCGCCTTTGCTCCACCTGCTTTTCGTTCTGTTGGGTCCTCCGGCTAACTGGGTGACAACCAAGACATCTCGCTCAACATACTTCCACCCCGGTAGCAAGCTGGCACATGGCTCTGCTGCAGGTTGTACACAACGAGCGTCCCCGTTGCCCAGCGTCCAACCTCTACGCAACAACAAATCCAGCGGTCAGCGATGGTACGCACACAAGTCACGCAGCGGCAGCGTCGTGCAGGCAGTGCTACACAGACCGTACACTACAACCGGAGAGGCACACATTACCGAGTAGTGGAAATCGGTCCTAGAAAGACTGGTGGCACGAAGTGACTATCGAACCTGCTGCACTCCAGGCACAGCAGCGGCAGCCGGCTAAGCACACATGTAGTGGGGCGATTACTCATATGGTGGCTAAAACCACATGCCTTTGAGGCCTGTGCCCCGCGGAGGTCTCTACGGCTGCCGTGCTTCTACTGCTGTGTCAGGAAAAATGTCCATCAAATTCCTGCGGTCTCGTTCATGACCCTCCTCTCTACACACAGCAACGTAATCCCACCTGTGTGTAGACACAGGTCGCCCACAACCGCTGTGTTCTTCGGATACAGGGTCACACGAGAGTTAACGAATATGATGTTGGCTGTCAGAGGGCGCAGCGGCGGCGGTGTTTGAACTGAGTGGCGGCAGGTTGATGTGCCATATTGCAACAACGGGCCAGAGGGTGTACCTGTGGATACCCAGTCCATGCCGACGGCGGTCCAGTTGCCACCACAGACGTGGACGCTAGCATCCCGACCACGGCGCATGTCGCCCTTCTCCGCCTGACCATGCTCTCCCAGCTGTCTCTCTACGATGGTGATGGATGTTGGCTGTGTGCGGCGGCCTCGCCTACTGGTGCGCCTGTATCCAGCAGCTCTATGCTACTGCATGAAGCGCAAGACGTGACTTGCCAGCACGTTCTGGTGGCTTGGTAGCTCCCAGTCGCTAGCTGCGTCCCTTTTGAAGCTCTCGTGGTTGGCTGCTTCGCAAACCTCTGCTGAAAGTCAGTGCTGCTGTGCTGCTGTGCTGTGCTGTGCGGCTGCTGACACGATCCACGTGCACTGCGGGGGCGCCGTGATGTATTCTACCCCCCCCCGGGTCAAAACAGGACCCCAAACACAGCAACAACGCCGAGCACACAGCACACACACAGTGGTGCCGGGCGGAGACTTGGAGAGCATGGTAAGACTATTAAGGAGGAGGACGCAAGGTCGAGACGTTGCTTTTACCATAATCTCGAAAAGACCGCTAGAAGCGAAGAAGTATTGAGATATTGTGTAATTCGAAATTTGAAAAATCGAACGAATTGGATGCGGGCGCATTTTGCACCGAGCCCTGATCGCTCGTATTTCGCTCTCTCTGCTGCTATCGCTGCTGTGGTAGTATTGCACCATGTTAAACCCTTCGGCGCCCTTGGTTAATTTTGTCGGATGACACAGCAACGATATGTATGAGAAATCATACCTGCACTGCTGTCAGTACGACACGTGCATTACACTGCACTTTCTTGCTCTCAGTACTGCACAAATCATCAGGTATCTACGTGACGGTTTATTCTTCCCATTATACTGTAGTGTGGGATGAGACAGTGTCCTCACCTCCGGCTGGGCTGGTGAAGACACCCGTCGTGAAAAGTGACCGTCGACGAGTGTATCTTAGGTTGAGTGCCTCATTAGACAACCACGCTCATCGATGCTACTTACTCGGCGTTATTTGAAGAATAAACTCTTGTAGGGAGGGTGGGCGGTGCTTGAACTTTTCTCCCTCTTGCAAAGAACGACGACACAGGCAAAATAGTCCGTCTGCATGGAAGGAGTTGAGTACATGTTAATCGTATATGCAAGGGGCGCTATTGGCTGCTCATAGGTTGGTGGCTAGGTACCACGAGGGAAACATGACCCTGTGTGTGTGCCTTCTCGAACACACAGGCACGACATGACCCTCCACTCCATGTTCCTCCGCGCGCTGGTGTGCGTACGCCCTTGATGGGACCGATCGAAAATCAATCAACCGGGGTGCTGCCTCGTGGACGATGGACGCCCATGTCAGCATGTAGACCTTTGTATTTTTAGAAAAAAAATTAAAAAACAAAACGCGTATAAGTTTGCAGATGCTAATACCAGAAACATGTACCGGTGCGGCGGGCGCCGGCTGCTTCCACGGTGCCCCCCCTTCTCACCCCGCCACCTCCCCAACCCCCCGGCCCGCACGTACAGCTGTCATGGTCTATCATCAACGACGAGCCGCACCATGGAGAAGAAGCCGCCACGGCAGCCATCGACGAAGGACAGGCTTCGAGGGAGACCACGGAGGCTCGCGAAGCCAGGCGAGAAAAAAACAACATATATTAACTGCAGTTACAAGAGCGCACTTTGTTTTTTTGGACAGCCACCTGTAGCGTCCAAGGCCACCTTCCCTCTCGTGCGGTGGCACCTTCTGCCTCTCGCTATCAATCTCGCTCCTCATTTGCCACGTGCTCTGGAAGTCGCGTCTCGCCAAGTTGTACGTAGAGGACAACACTCATTCTGCGTCCCCCCCTCGTGCATTTTGCCGCACCGCTTGTGCGTCGTATTTATATTTTCTCTCTCTCCCAGGCACAACGCGGTCTACGAGCAGGCGTTGGCCTTGCACGGAGAAGGGGCCCCGCACTCGGACGCCTGGGCGAGAGCGAAGAAGCTGTACGACACCGTCATCTCTGACGAGTGAGAGAAGAGAGACGTGTTATCCCTCGGGGTGGGACTAGAATCATGTCGGTGAAACTTGGCGTCACTTCATCGACGGTCACCCCCTCCCCGCGTCATGACTAACTACCGTATACGACACAAGAAAACACACCCCCTGGACCGATTTTCAAAGCTCGATTTATCAACAGCAGAAAGAGCGGGGGTGCCGAAAAACGGCGGGGTTGAAGCCGTCTGGTCGAGAGCTCTCCGATAACGTATCATTTCGTTTATACATCCTCTTCGTCGAGGAGTAATCGAGCTTTGAAAATCGGTCCAGGGGGTGTGTTATCTTGTGTCATATACGGTATAACATAACTCGTGATGGTTGGGAACCTTGGCCGTCCCCCATGCCCCCCACCCCCTGTTTCGACACGAAAACCCTTGTTTTGCTCACATCCCCCTCTTTCCGTCTTTTGCCGGAGTTACGGACATAGGGTGTAAATTTATGAAAGGAGATGCTCTTTAGGTTTCAGCACTCTCTCAATCAATGGGTCTCGCGAGTCCCCAATGCAGCACTGATGTGAAGGCGCTTGGTGAACGGAAAAAATAGCCAATATGACCAAGAGGAGGAATTGTTGCAGACCGAACAAACTGACGGTTGTGAAACGGAACCCATAGACACGTAGACCGACGATACATCATTCCCGTGTGTCCCGTTTAAGAGGCGTGTTGGTTCGGGTGACTTGTTTCGGTTATGTTTCTGGGGGTCTCAGAGAAACGTCTTCAAAGGCCCTCTCCCATTCTGCTCCCTCGTTGCTCCTATGTCAAGAGTTTGATAGGCCCGTGTCGCCTGGGTCCAAGTGAAACGTGCTGAGGGATGTGCGTGTCAGGGAAGCACCGTGCTTTGGATTTGGAGGGTCACGCGGAAACAACAGACGCCCCCCAAAGCGCTTTCATTCTTCTTCCTCGCTGTTCCTTATCAAGAATTTTACGTACGCATGTCCCCTGGGTGGTCCAAGCGAAATGTGTTGCGGAACGTGCATGTCAGGCAAGCAACATGGTCCCGCGGAAGCAACATGAGACGCCTCGCACTTGTTATCAATCACCACCCCCCTCAATGGTCTAACGACTACGGCATGCACACACACACCCCTCTTTCCCCCATCGCTTTTCTCGCGCCCCGTGCCGCCAAAACACGTGGTGGAAACAACGCCCTAAAAAAAAACTCTGGGAAAAAATAGACCAATGGAGGACAAGAGGTCGGCGTCCAGCTTCGGCACTCCCGTGCGGTTCCTTTGCCTCAAGAACCTCGCCGACATGGTCGAGAGGGAGGGCGACAAGGCGAGGGCGCTGGAGCTTCAGGTCGCCGCTGCTGACGAGGACGCGACTGACGTGGCGGTGAGACAGACAGACAGACAGATTACCATGGAAGGACACCGCGAGGTACCCCCCTCCCCCCCCCCGCACCTTCGGTGTCAGGAATGCTTTTTGCGGATGATTTTGTTGGTATGTCGGACACCCCTGAGGGACTGCAACTACAAATTGACGCGGCGAAGAAGTTTTCTGATAAGTGGAGATTGTCGGCCAACGTTAAGAAGAGTGCCGTCATGGTATGCAACGAGGACAGGGAGGAACCAGTAGAACATAGATGGAAGTGGGGGATCGAGGAGATAGCAGTAGTGGACCAGTACACATACCTCGGGGTAGAGATCGCAAAAGACTGCTCGTGGAATGCACACATGTCTAAGGTAGCGGAAAAGGCCAAAGCACGAGCAGGGAAGCTGCACTCAATAGTCGCAAACCGGCACCTCGATACACGCATCAAATTGACGGTTTTGAAGAGCTTGATCGTACCGCCGATAGAGTACGCCGGAGAAGTATGGGAAGGAAATAAGAAGGTAGTGAAAGAACTCGAGGCGGCGCAGATGAAAGCAGCGAAAATCATCCTAGGATGCTCCAAGGGCACAAGGAATGCAGCCGTCAGGGCAGAATTGGGAATCCAATCCCTACGGTCGGGAAGAGACGCAAGGAAGCTGACATGGCAGTATCGCATGTGCGGGATGGGAGAGGAGAGGTTGCCGAGAATAGTATGGGAGGCGAAGTGGGCAAACAAAAAGAGGGGTAGACAACCTACGGAATGGGTCAAGGTTGTAGGTGACGTATGGAAGGGGTTAGACATCGACGAAGATGAAACGCTGGAAACGGGGGGTCCACAGGGGTTCAAGGAGAAGATATCTGTTGCTTGTGCCGAGAGAGAAAAACAGAATCTAAGGAAAGAAACCAAGGATAAGGAGGGTCTAGAAGTGTACGGAATGTTGAAAGAAGGAATAGGGTTCAAGGATTACCTACATGAACCAATGGATGCAGGGACAAAGCTTAAGGTCAAATTCAGGACCGGGGACATAGGCCTTCGAGAACGTCGACGAAGACATAGGACTGTAGACGACGAAGACGACAAGTTCAAATGTGATTGCGGCTTCGAATGCGAAGACCGTGTTCATGTAGTCGCGGAATGTCCGTGGTACGAAGAGGAGAGGGAAGTGTACATGACCGAGCTGGGAAAAATGCAAGGGAGGTACAGGGAGATGTTTGAGGCATGGAAAAGAGAGGAGAGGACGGTAGCTGTACCGGGGAGTAGGAAGTGTTTTGAAAAGGCGGGAAGGGATATCGTTCGGATAGACAGACTAGGGAAGACATTTTTGAGCCACCTTTGGCAAAGTAGGAAGGCACGATTGGCCATCGGTGATCGGTCCTGTGGGAACAATGCTCCGTCCTCTCGAGGACGCGTGGTCAACGGTCTAACCGCTAAGGCATGCAAAACATAAGAGTACACTCCCCCCCCCCCCACCCCCCCGCACCACCCCGGCGTGCTCCGCCCCGGTTTTGTAGGGATGCGAGATCAACGGTCTAACGAATTGCGTGCACGACTATGAGTACACCCCCCCGCACCCCCCCGAGACGTTTGAGGCATAGGTTTGAGGTATGGAATAGGTAGCGAGGAGAAGACGGTACATGTACTGGGGAGTAGGAAGTGGGCTGAAAAGGCGGGAAGTGATATCGATACGATAGACACGCTAGGGAAAACACTGTTGAGCCACCTTTGGCAAAGTAGGAAGGAACGATTGGCCATCGGTGATCGGTCCTGTAGAAATAGTGCCCCGTCCTCTCGAGGACGCGTGGTCAATGCTCTAACCGCAAAGGCATGCAAAATATGAGTATGCCCACCACCCCCGCCTCACCCCCGCGGGTCCCCCATCCCAGCTTGAAGACAGCACTAAATCATTGGAGGACTGAGACTACCACAAAGACACCACCGGTCCCCCCTCATCCCTTTCAACAGCATGTTCCCAACATGAAGAAAACAGTCCACCAATACCGGAGGATGGCGTGCAATCGGTACGGTACTCTTTGTCAAAATGTGGTGCACGATCATTGGTCAACAGAACCAAATACGCGCCACCCCCGGTCTCTTTGCTGAGTTTTACAGGATTGTGTTGTCAATTCTGCTGGGCCGCTCTTTTCTCCACTAACCGGTTGCTACTGGTGGCTGTGACGTGTAGGGTTTGTTGGATGTTCTTCCTCCATTCAGTCTGAACGTGTCTCCTCCGGTATTTCTCCCCATCGGCACCCATCCGGCGACAACGATCATAACAACAACAACGACGACGACAGCAACAACAACGACGACGACGACAGCAACAATGACGACGACAACAACAATGACGACGACAACAACAACAACGACGGCGACAGCAACAACACGCTTGATCCACCCACCCGACCCCACCCCCACCTTATCTTCTCGCACAACCGCCCCCGCGATGCCATCAACGACGATGTCAGGTGTGGATGAAGATGGCGAGACTGTCACGAGCGGCGGGACTGTCAAACCTAGCCCGCCTGGCCCTGGAGCGCCTGCTGGAGGTGAACGGAGACCACGTCTTGGCCCTGAGGACCCTGAAGGACGTGCTTTCGGAGATAGGCGACGTCGCGGCCTGCCGCGAGGTAGGCGTAATCGAGTACTCACTTGAAGTGCTTTTTTTCCTTCGGGAGTGAAGATGGAAAACGTTCGCTAGGCTTCGACATGGTGTAGAGTTGGCGACGGTGAACCAACCCGACCGTCCTCTTTCAAGATGCTTTCCTAGGCCTGGGGAGCTACACAACGAAGGAGTTTTGCTGCTGGTTGACCCTTGTTTCGTGATGTAAGTTATAGGCTGCAGGATGTGCACACACGCAGACCACGCTCACGACCGCTGCTGCTGCTGCGGGCGAGACAAGTTCCCGCCAACCACTCGCACAGGCGGTCTTGTTGGTTAGCTTTGCTGTACTACATCGGCCCCAACTGTTTGGCAATGCCTCGCCGAGGTTTCCGCTTTGTTTTGCCCGTTTGCTCCCGCCTTCCTGCCAAAACAAGTTCCTTCATACCGCCGCATCTCGGAAACTCGCCTGGTGCCAGCAGGTAACAAAACAGCTCCTCAACCTCGACCCTTACGCCGGCAGCGGCTTGTCTTCCGTCGCCGCCGTTGAGCACCCGTCCCCCGTTCCATTCCACGGACCCCCCGCCACGACGGCTAGTACCCGCGGCGAGCAGCAACAGCAGGCAGGCCACCCGCTTCCTTGTCCTCGTTGGGCCTCTCCGTCTCGGTCCTCGCCCCCGCACTGCGTGGAGCGAACGCTGGACCTTCCGTCGTGGGAGCGGCTCGGCAGGCTGCTGATCGACACCCGGGCTTGCATCGTCCGCGGCCAGCGTGCCGCTCCCCCGGCTGCGGCGGCCGGGACGTCCGCCGGCGCCGGAGAGCTCGTCCCTGCAAGCGCGAGCAGCAGCAGCGCCGCAGTTGCGGCAGGCCACCTCCTGGGTCGAGAAAGCGGCGACAGCGGTAGTGGCGGCGATGTTGACGTGCCCTCAGCAGCAGCAGCAGCAGCAGCAGCAGCAGCTGTCTCAACAGCGGTGCCGCAACCGCCGCTGACCCTGTCAACCCCGGTGCGGATCGTTCTTCGTCTACGCGACGAGGCTCAAGCTGCGGCTGCTGCTGGCGCTGATGCTCCCGCCGGCTCCGCTTCCGGCTTGGAAGGCGGAGAGGGTGGCGACAGGAACGGGGTGGGAGCAACAACAGCGGCGGCAGGAAATGATTCCCACGAGCACAGCAAGCAAGAGCAGCATAATCAACGACGACTTCGACGGCCGTCCGTGGAGAAGGCGATGGAGTGGTACAGCGATGGTTCCAGCTCCTCGGACGATGATGACGAAGGCGGCGAGGAGGAAGGTGGCAAGGGCAAGGGCAAGGGGAAGCTGAACGGTGGCCGCCAGTCGGAGCTGAGGGCGGAGCGGCGGACGTCGGCCAGGCGGCAGAAGCAGGTCGAGATCCGCGAGGCGGACGTGGCTGCTGCTAGGGAGGATGACGTCGAGGTGAGCGAGGAAGGAAGTTCGTTTTGTGGAGTCGGTGCCTGCTCCTGTTGTTGTTGCTGTTGCTGCTGCTGCTGCTGCTGATGCTGGTCCATCTCGAGAGAACAAGCTCCCGCGAGCGCCCGCGAAACAGAATGAAGAATTTCCCTGTCCATCGTCGACATCGCCTGACTTGCCCGTTCCCGATTCCTTACCCCCCCCCGGTGTTTGCCATCGGGGTTGGGTTTTCGTCGCTTGGCAACGACGTAGTAAAACAAGCCAATTCATTTCGTGAACTCGGCAACCAGGTTACTTTTTTTTTTACCTCTGTTTTTTTTTTTGCGGTAACCATAATGGTGGTCGAGTAGATCATGTTGTGCGGGGTCGAGAACCCTCACTCCGCGCAAGGGGGATGATCGCACTACGTTGTGTTGAAATGGTCAAGCATCCTCGAGGCAGTTACACCGTGCTTATAACTGTCTCTGGAAGTGAAAGCACCAGAAAATGTATTAAGTCATGCGCAGCTGTCATCCGTACGCAAGGAAGTAAGCACAAGATGCCGAACACCCTTAGCAGGATGCAGCGCACCCTTCATGCGACTCGCCGAATACCTCACGGCGTTTCGCGCTTGGTGATGTGAGAGCCTGGTCCGGTGAGAACCCGGCGTGCTCCGTCCCGGCTTTGTAGGGATGCGAGGTCAATGGTCTAACGACTACGGCATGCACGACTATGAGTACACCCCCCCCTCCCCGAAAACCGCGTACAACACAACGAACCAGTTCCGCGTGGCCAGCTTGTTCCTCACGGCGGAGGAGGCCTCGCACGACGACAAAGGGGATGGCGGCCTCGGTGCTGCGGCTGCCGCGGACGAAGAGGGGGAGCAGCAAGAGACGGAGCGCGCGTGGTGGCCGAACCTCGCGAGAGGTGCTGGCCGAGGCGCTCGAGTCGACGGCTCCGCGGCGGCAGAAGGGGGGGGGGCATGTGGCGACGCGGGGTGAGAACGATCGATCTTGATTTTGCTCGAATTGTGTTCGCAACAACCTTTCGGTGAAACAGCACATCACATACGCTATTTTTGTTTTGTGTGTTCCAGCCCAAGCTTTTTGATTCAACTGGGCAGCGAGACAGAAGCGTCGTGGCTAGGATGGTTTGAGTGTTGAGGCCAGTATGGCGCCGTCGTGAACTGCTGGTTGTTTTGAGGTGATGGGCGGGTGAGGAAGGCGAGGGATGCCAGCAAGCAGTCGTTGAGACTAAGATTCTTTTTTTTTTTGTGTGTGTATGCCTGTCGTTCGGGGACGCCGGGTTCGGCTGGCAGGGGGGGACGCCATGTCGATGTTTTCTGCACAGACGCACCATCTATCTTTGGGGAGAAACACAGTACACAATAGAAATTGTCGTTGTCGTTGTTGTCTTTACACCGAAACAGAATAGCCGCTAGAGATAAAAAATAGAAAAGTGACGCATTTATTTCGGCATAAAGTGCGTGCCTTCTTTCGCTTGGGTCTCGTGGCGAGCTTGGTGAAACGGTTCGCTCACCACACTCCCCCGGAGTGCTCTGCTCTGTTGTATCGATTGAGCGCTTTCTAATAACAATTAGGTTTTCAACACACTAAGAAGCAGTTAGTGTAGTTCGTAGTCGTTGCGCCGCACGGAAACTTTGTGGCTGGTTGGGTGTTACTCTCCCCTCTCTCCCCTTCCCCGTGGCATATCTAGTTTGGCACAGCAAATGCAAGGACGATGAACGACCAGCTTCTGGTTCATCATTGTGGAACGTAGCCTGTGTCGACGAAACCCGGCGTATCTCTCCGCCCCGGCGTTGTAGGGATGCGAGGTCAATGGTCTAATAACGACTATGGCATTCGTCTACGTGAGAGAATACCCCCCCTCACCACGTACATGCTCCGTCCTCTCGAGGACGCGTGGTCAATGGTATAACGCGGCATGTGTTTACATCAGAAACACCCCCACCCACTGTATGTGCAGGGAGCTAGAGGAAGAGGAGGTAGCGCTGGCTGCCAAGATGCTCCCGCGCTGGAAGCAGCGCCACGATGTAGACTGCCGCAGGTACGACAAGGAGAATATCTTGGAATATGTCGACGTTTCGAGAGACTCCAGAAAAAAAGTGTTCCAATGTACGCCTGGCGAGTTACTGAACGTCGTATTCTTGTGCAACCTTCATAGGTTTCAAGAAGAGGGGTTCTGTCGTAATTCGAGAGACGCCCGTATTGGGCGTTTCAATGTACGTGTGACGATTTGCTACTGTAACACCATATTCTTACGCACGGCCTTCATAGGCTACGAGAAGAAGGATTAGTCGAAGTTTCGAGAGACGCCAGTAAAAGGTGGCGCAATGTACGTTTGACGATTTACTCAACACCTCATTCTCATGCAATGTACGTTTGACGATATACTAAACGCCGAAGTCTCATGTACGGCCTTCGCCGCGGAAAGAAACGTCGCTGATGGTGGCGGGGTATTGTATTTGCTGCTGCTGTTGCTGCTGCTCCGAAACGCCACCAGATGCGGGGAAGGAGGCATTGTCTTATGCTGCGACTTCTGCCACCTGGTCTACCACCCGAGATGCCTGGAGGTCACCCCGGGCCTGACCAGCCTCTTCGCCTGCTCCGACTGCAAGGAGGTGATTCAGCGGGACCCCCCCCCCCCCGCATTTGCTACGGCGGTGTTCGACACAAACGTCGATATACAGTACAGTAGGTGACGCAAGATACCACACCCCCTGAACCGTTTTTCAATGCTCGATTTCTCCACAACAGAATGAGTGGCAGCGCCGAGAAGGACGGCGAGCGTCGAGAGCTTTCCGAAAACGTATCGCTTCATATATGTATGCATCCTTTTCGTCGTGGAGTAATCGAGTTCTGAAAATCGGTGCAGGGTGTGTGGTATCTTGTGTCACCTACGGTACACACACGTCCACCGTCTGGGCGGGGGTTAAGATCGCTTTGTCGATGGTGTTCTTTGTACTGTCGTTACAGCCAGTGTTTTTAATTTGTCCGCTGACCTGGCTCTCTTCGCCCGTTTCGACTCCAAGGAAGTGGCGAGACTCTAAGCGGAAAACCCCAACATATTATGGTTTTGTGTTGTTTGCGGCGTTGTTGATCGCGCTGATGCTGGTGTGCCATTTTAGTTGCTTGTGATGCTGGTGTACCTTTTCGTTGCTTGTGATGCTGGTATACCTTCTTGTAGCGAAGGGACGCGTGATGCGGTCTATGGCTTGGCGACGGCCTTGTGCAATCCTGGTTAGACCGACCCTGGCAAATGGAAAGGGGATCAGTATGCGTTTTATTTGTACCATAATGTGTTCTTTTTCCCCAGCATGAAATATGTTGGAGGCTGTTCGTGCCTGCTACCGCGACAAAGTCTGTTGCTACAGTGTATTGCTTCATCACATAGAGAGAGGGATACGTGGTCAACGATCAAAGGCGAGCAACACACTGGTACGCCCTTCCCTCCCAACGACTACGGCAAAGCATGATTATGGGACCCCGACCCCCCCCCCCGCGCGCGCTCATTGGCGCCCCCCCTCCCCCTTGCTGGATGCCCAGGAAGCCGCCATCCTGGAGTGGGAACTCAAGGGTCGAGATGACGCCGCCAGCGGGGCCGTCGCCGGAGGTCTGCAAGAGTTGCTGCGGGCTGCCGATGGTCGCGCGGGGAATGCCGGTGTGGTCGACCTCATGCTTAGGTACAGGTCCCTGTTTAGTGCCGGTTGAATAGTGCCGGGTCAAATGTCGGCACGAGTGTCCACACTACTGTGCTAAAACCTAGATATCCCTGTCCTGAATAGTGCCGGGGTCCGGTATAGTGCCGGCAAATATTCTGGGCACGTACCGGCACCTCTACTGTACGTGCATCTTATTTTTTGGCGTCGACCGCGCCAACCGGCTGGCTATTAATAATAATACGTCAGTCTCATTGCGGCTGAAAACACTCTTTCTACTAGCATAGACCGCGCTAATAACGGCTGACCAATAGAAATACGTCAGGATCAATGCGCCTGAACTTATTACTACATAGCAAGACTGCGCTAGCTGACCAATGAAACGACGTCAGTCTCGTTGCGGCTGAAAACACAAAATGTTTTCGGATGACTATGATCTGAGAACCCGTGAATGGAGGCTCAGCTACTCTCCGGGTTAAAGATAGAAATTTTGCGTGCGTGTGTGGCCCGCCAGCAGCACCGAGCCTTTTCTTCGTGCGTAAAGTGTAAAACAGCACCTGTAGTCCTGTAGTGGACACCCCCGTGCGACGCCACCCTCCAGTCAAAAACAGTACTGCGGGCGGCGGGTAGACGGGGTGATGTTGCGACTCCATATGCATTTGCTCCTAGTTACAACGAGCTCAGAGTGGGTGTTATGCTCTGTTGGTGATTGTTAGCCAGCCTCTCAGCGCCGTTGTAGTTGATGGAAGAATCATGTGTACGCTCTTGGTTTTGTGCCCAGAAACAAGCACCTGCTTTGTCTGCAAGCCGGTGTGCTGCATAGGTCGACGCGAGTTGTTGAACCTCTCTTTCACACACATTTTGTTCCCGCATCCAAGCGCCCTTCATGCTTCCTCTCGCTCTACGGGGTAGTGCTCTTCACACGAACACCACGAACACCACGAGCTGATCTTTTCCCGTTGCGCGTGACCATGGGGTCGCATTCGACTACTTTATTTATTGCAAAACACACAGGTGGTTGAAAGGGGTCACCACAGCCCCGACGGACGACTTGTGTCTCGAGGCCGCCTATTGCGCGGCGGACAACAGAGCGAGGGGAGGAGGCCGTGGCGGGGGCAACGGGGGGGTTCCGCAGACAACCGCGGGGGTACCCTCGGGGGGGTATCAGCTCGCCGCGGTCGCTCTCGCCGTGGAGCCGATCGTAAGGGGGTGAGTAGTGAGGTTCACACCCCAATCACAACAACAAATTACTTGTTGATTTTGTTCCGAAACTCGGATGGTTTTTCTGTGCGCACGGGGCTTGTCCCACGGCACCAGCCATCGTGCTTGAATCAGCAGCCCGCCTACCTGCCTCGTTTCGCCTTCTACCTAGAGTCAACATTCCATCCATTTTTTCCCGCCAAACGAAAGGTTGTGAGTCGGTACTATGCGCTTGTCGTCGCTAAGGCTCGGACACCCTGTTTGTTTTTTTTTCACATTTTGGCGAAGATACTACACTACTTGAACCTCCCTTCTTCTTTGCACCATTCCCGCCGCTTCTGCAATCAACACGAGACCCCCCCCCCCCCATCCCGCCTTTGCACACATGCCGCAGGTACCTGCCCACCCGGTTCACCTGGCCGGCGTTGCTAGCCGTCGGCCCCCCACCAGCCACGGTCGACGCTGCCGCCCCTGGAGAAGACGACGGCCCCGAGCTAGGACTCGCGTGCGAGCTCGCGCTCGCCGAGATGCGCGTGGACAAGGCTCTGTCCCTGATGCGGCAGCGCCAGCAGCAGCAGCGGCCCGCGGGCGGCAGCAAGAGCAACGCGCACAGCCCTGCGGGTGTGCAGCCATCGGCGCCGGTGGGTGGCGCGGATCCTCCCACGGCGGCGGCGGTGACCGCAGCCGCTGCTCCGGCGGGAACGGCAGGAGCAGCGGCACCCCCTGCGGCGGCAGCGGCGGCAGCCGTGGTTGTGACTGACGGCGCTGCTACCGAGGTGGGCGGCAAGAAGAACGAGGGTGCAGGCGGCGGCGGAGGAGGAGGGTGTCTGCGCAGGTCCCCGGAAGACCTCGCCAGGGAAGCCTCGGACATTCTCGCGGACGCCGACAGGGCCATGCTGCAGCTGGAGCCTTGGTGCTTGGCTATCGACAACAGCAACCTTGGCGACGGTAGGCAGCAACGGAGAGAGCGGCAGAGAGAGAGGCAGACAGACCGACGAAAGACAGAAAGAGGCAGAGAGAGAGAGAGAGAGAGAGAGAGAGAGAGAGAGAGAGAGAGAGAGTAGTAAGGCGTTCGGGTTGTGGATGGGGGGGAAGGCCCCCTTTTACAGTCACCTTCTTCACATGTTGGCAGAGATCGCAACCTTTCTCTTGAACTGAACAGGCGCGCGCAGATGGAAGCCTTTGATTTTGGCTACAGCAGTACAGCAGTACCGAGAAGATGTTTCTTCTGAGTCATGTAGTCAAGTATCCTCGTCCCTAACCCTCTCTACGCCCGGGATGTATTGAATCGCTCTTGACGGCTTAAGACGGCGATGGTGCCGCGGGACACGGAGAGTCGAACACCGCACCCTGGGTGCTGGTGGTGCGGTGGTGGTGGCTGAAAGGCATACGGGCGAGGCAGGGCGGCCAAGCGGAAGAAGCCCTAGAGCACTTTCACCTCTGCGAGAGAGCCCTGCGGGGCAGAGGAAGAGAACAGCGGGCGCAGCAGGGTAGCGGCGCGAGCAGCGGGCAAGAGGAGGAAAAGGGCGACGAGTTCAACGATGAGGACGAGGAAGAAGTCGCGGTGCTGTTGCCGTACTGCTCGGTTCACCCGAGGATCGATCTGCAGGTGAGAGGGCAGTTCGGCGACCGGCGAAAGAACGCTCTCAACCAACGCATCGTGTGTCGGATCCCGGTGCGTGTAGACGGATCACCCAAGACGCTTGCTGATTCGATGGCACGGGGTCGCGAGCGCCCGGCGGCTCAACGGCGACGGAGACTGAACGACGAGGTCGCTCTGGGGTATTGTAGGCCGCATAAGATACCCTGGACCAATTTCTAAATAAGTGATCCGTCCGGAGTGGGCTCATGAGAGAACAGCAATGTCATCAAGGGGTGATGCGAGATGAGAATAAAGGAGGCAGCAGGATGAACCCGCAACTGGCCTTGGCGTTTCCCGAGCTGGTCAGATCACACAGCTGACGTGTGTCTAACTCGAACAGCCCAGCGAACCTCGACGAACCAAAAAAGAAGAAAATTACAAATCTGTACACAGTCTTCCTACTCTGCAGCAAACACAGCGAAGGAACCGAAGATGACGGAAGGCGTTGGAACCGTTGCGCAGAGAGAAAATTGTCCGATAACGCCTCTATTGATTCTGGCACCCCTCTTCGTCGTGGAGTATATTGCGTCCCCAAAACTGAAAAGTAAAAAATACCCACCCAATCATAGAGGTATTGTATACATACGGGTGAGTTGTTGGCGGAAGGGGTATAGAGGCGAATGTGAGCGAGGTGGACATTTACCATCAAGACTACCCTCTGGAAATATTGGATAACATTCGCGCTCGATCCAGGGGGTGTGTTATCTTACGTCACGTCACCGACGGTAACACCACGTTCCTTCTCCTGCGAAGAAGAGCTCCCGCTGCTGTGGTTGAGACGTAAGCAACGGTGGGACGGAGCTCGCGGGTGTGCGGGGTGCTCACTTTCTGGCTTCGGCTGTTTCCTTGCGCTCGGAATCGTTTGCTGGGGACGGGCGGCCCTCGGGTTGCCGGACAAAATTACGCTCTCTGTCGCGTCCCACGGTCCTCGTCATTCACCTCTACGGAATACGTCCGCGTTAGTTGGACCACACGGGGGTCGAAAGATAATGAGCAAGAGTCCGGAACGGGCTTGAATGTGAAGACAGCAACAACAACGGTTTTGCATGTGAAGATAAATAGCAACATCCGCCGCCAGTGGTCTCTGTCTCTGTCGGTCTTGCCGTGCCACGAAATCAAACGCTCACCCGTTCCCCACCCCCCAAACTTCTCCCCGGAAAGGTTGTTCGGGGGCTTATTACCGACGTAGAACTCTCCGGCACAAGCGAGGCAGCGCGTGAGGCGTTCTCGAGTGCGATCCTTCTTCTCTCCAAGTGCGCTGCGGTGAGGAACGTAGACACGGCGGCGGGGCAGAGGGCGACCGTAACCGCGGGGACCGGCACCGGGGCGACAGCGGAGGCGGCGAGACCGGGAGCGGCAAGCCAGAGCGGCGCTTACGGGAAGTCGGGAGGTACACCTGGCGGCGGCAGCAGCGGCGGCGGCGGCGGCGGCGGCGGCGGTGTGGACGCGGCGGTCACCGAGTCCAGAGTTGGCGACGCGCCTGACTCTCAGAGTGTCGTGTCCGCAGAAAGCAACCCCGCCGGGTCGGCGCGTCTCGCACCCGGGGGCGGACAAGGCAACGGCGAACGGTGTTTTCCGTCGGCTGCGGTGGACGGGACGGCCCAGCCCGGCGGCACTGGTGGCGGTGTCAAAGCTTCATCGCCGCCGCAGCAAAGAGACCAGGCCCTGAAAGCGCTGGCGTGTGTGATGCGGGGGCTGGAGTCTCGCTTCGTGGCCCGGGCACCGTTGGCTTCGCCGCCGTTCCAAGGCTCGATCTCTGCGCCGCAATCGGCCGCCGCTGCGGCGGTGGCCGGTGGACCGGGAGCACCAGGCGTCACGGCCGAACCTAAGTCAGCAACGGCAGCGGGGAACAGGGGGGGCTGGACAGCCCGGGTGCTCTCGTCGCGAGCGGAGGAACTTCTGTCGGATCTGCTGGAGAAGGAGAAGGCGTTCTTGGCGCAGGTCAACCGGGACGGCGCTCGCGCGCTCGAGCGGTTGGCGGCGGACCTCGACAAACCCAACGCCGCCGCCGCTGCCGCCACCTCTGCCCCGCCGCCGCCCCCACCGCCGCCGTTTTTCCTTGCGCGGACCTCTCCCGCTCCTGCTACGCCGGTCATAACGGTGCCCGCCGTGCTTGCCTCAGCGGGCGGAAGAAGTGATATAGCCGCTCCGCGCCTGACAACAGCGGGCCCGAGCTCACCGCCGGGAACGTCGACCGCGGCAGCGGTGTCCGGCGGTGAACGTGAACTTCTTTTTCGGCGGCGGCGGCGACACGTTCCCCTACGGCTCTCAGGGCCCGGCCTGGGCGACCAAAACTCGGTGTTCTCGATGATGCTCCGCGGCGCTTCCCTTCTCGACCGCCACGAAATAGCCGTACTCCTCGCGGTGAGGTGCGCCGAGCACTTCCTAGACGCTTCGGACGTGCTGGCCTCCCCGAAAGGACCTCTAGGCATCGGCGGCGGTGGCGGCGGTAGGCGGGGGTCCCCGGCGAAGAGGAGGGCCGGTGCCGCCGGGAGGAGCGGGAGCGAGGGCCTAGGGGCGGTGCACCTCTTGCTGACGTCGAGATCCCCCGGGGCCGACCGGCGAGCGGTAGACGCCGCCGTTACGAGCGCGACGGCCGAGTTCCTGGCCCACGCCCTGGCCGTCGTCGTCTGGGCGGTCCCGTGCGCAGCGAGGGCCGAGCTGTTCGGGGATGGCGGCGGCGGTGGTGATGGCAGGCGGGAGATCGCGGCGGCGGCGGCGGCAGCGAGGAGAGCATCGGTTCTGCGATGCCTGGCTCGGCTTATGAGGCACTCGATGGAAGACGACAACACCAGGGTAGGAAGCACGTGATTCGCAGAGTTGACGCTCACGTTGGGTAGATGTTTGCGTTGCAGGGGCTACTGTTGTTGCGATGATTCCTGGGTCCCTTGGTGAAAAATAGTTTTTGTCCATCTTCGTGCACGAGCACGCTTGTTCCTCGACTAAGAACCCTTCATGGAATGACGCTTAAACCATACCACCAGGTCCTAAACCTGTGCGTTATCGCATGGCAAGCGATCGCCGCGGTTGCGCATGTGCCGAACAACGCCTCCACTCGGACCGATACGGAGACGGGGAAACCCCTGCCGCCGGAGGGACGAAGCGCGATGGGGGTCGAGGCCGAGTTAGTACAATCATCCCACGACGACGAAGCGGGAGGTGTTTCGACAGCAGATTGCGGCGCGTTTGCCGCGGAGTCCGTCGTTCGAGGCCTCGTTCGCTGCCTGTGCGGCGTGGTGGTGGGCCGGTGGAAGCAGACGGCGAAGGCGCGGAAGAAGGCCTGGGTTCTGCACGCAATGGAGGCGGTGCACGCCCTCGTACGCACCCTCGAGGTGGGGCTGCTGCTCGTATTGGCTCAGCACCGGCGGAGGGAAAAAGTCGCTGTGTAGTGCGGGGGGGGTTGGCGTGGTGTTTTGGCCCGATTCTCCTGTGGCGAAATTTAGAGCGCTTTTGTGGTTGGCTGATCTCGTCTTTGGCTTCGTTGTTGCAGTTTGACGGTACAATCGCCCGTGATCTGTGAAGTAGGCACCTGGGAAGCAAAGGTCAGCTTGGGTGATCCTCCAAAATATAAGTTATTGATCGGCGAGACCATCACGCTCACGAGCGGCGTTGAAACTCTCGGGAAGTTCCGGTGCACCTGTTGCGGGTGCAAGTTTGGGTGCAAGTATTGCCTCCCCCACCCAATATCTACTCACCCAATTCGCTGACCCAAACACACACGTTTGTACGCGCCTCGTTCTCCCTCGGCATTTCTCTCAGTACCTTCAGAGTGTCAGCTGCAGCAACGCCAAGCCATACACCGAAAACACCAACCTCACCGATAGCGACAGCGTCATCGGACCGAGGCTCAATCCGGGGGTTTCAGGCGTCGCCGGCAGTGACAGCGGCGTTATCACCCCCTCGGCGTCGGTTGGCGCAAACCCCGCGCGGCGTTCTTCCTCCTTTTTCTTCAACGCCGGCGAGCTCCGAGAGGTTGTGAAAGCCTTGATGGGCCTGTCGAATCTCCCCGACGGGCCGACTCCGGCCACAGCAGCGGCGGCGGCGGCGGCGGCGACTAAAGGGGCGGGAGGGGCAGCAGGCGGGGGCGGTGGGGGGGGAGGGGGAGCGGGGGCGAGCCCCCCGGGGGGGGGACTTGGAGTGAAGCTGACGTGCTCATTGGCTGTCCTGGTGGTAGGGCTCAGCGACGCCGCTTCCTGGCTCGATGCGCCAAGACGGGTGCGTGCGCGTGGCACAACTACGCCGCATCGATATCGGCTCCTTCCGTGCGTGCAAGATGTAAACCTCAATCGCGCCATTATTTGTTTGCCGGTGCACATTGCTGTCGTCAAGTTTCGTGGCGGAGGTGCTTGTCCCAGGTCGAGATTTGGATCGTGTCTGCGAGACCGGACCTTTGCGGCCGTCTACACAAGCTAGTAAACCCTCCTATGTGTCGTTCTGTATCAATCAGCGAAATCATGGACTTTGACAGCCGTGTGTGCCCCCCGCGAGCACTCGTGCGTACGCGTTACTTGCGAGTGGCGTGACCCCCCCCCCCCCTTCCTCTTCGGTGCTGTACCCCCCCCGCGGGCAAACAATTGATGCCCAACACGTCGCAGGTCGGGCTGGTGGAAACGCTACACGCTCATCTAAAGGGGAAGCCTGGATCTGCTGCTGTGACCCTGGGGGGCGCTCTGGAGGGCAGGGCCGGCTACGGCGGGGTCTGCGCGGATGGGGAAGGGGTGTTCCTGAAGACAGCACTTCTTTACCTCTCCAGTCAACAGGTGAAGGGAAATAAATCGATGCATTTTACTTCTTCATCGACCGTTCTGGAAAGATGTATGGACGATTGAAACCCCAAAGGTACGGCGAAAAATAGCCGCCAGGTACAGATATTGCTTGAAGTTTGAGACGATCCACCCACCACGTTCTTGATTATCGTACTACTGTAACCCAGGGTCTAGCTGTGTACCCATTGAGGACGAGAAGCATGATCCACGATCAAACTAACGAGCCCACCAATGCGATCCAGCTGAAACAATGCACCGCCGCTCTTCCTCAACCCCACGCTGCGCGACCCCCACCCCCCTTAAGGTGGCCTCCGCCGTGAGGAAAGAAGAACAAGAACGGCAGTCCCCCGGCGGCGAAAACAGAGACAATGACGACGTCGGTTTATCCCGCGATGTTGGTAGTGAAGATGGCAACGAAGACGATGATGACGGAGTGGAGATCGACGTGGAAGGCACTGAGGACGGCGACGACGGTGGTGGCGAGAGTGACGGCGGCGGCGGTGTCGGCGGCGGCGGCGGTAACGGTAGAGCCAAGGACAGGGAGATGGAAAGACTGACCAGCTACAATGGGTCGCCGAAGCAGGGCGATGCTGAGCCGGCCAGCGGCGGTGCCGGTGGCAGCCGCGGCAAGGGGCGAAGGCAGCCGTCAAAACGGGCCGAGCGCCTCGGGGAGCGAGTTCTTCGCGCGCTGTCCCAGTGCCAGGCTTGCCTGTACGACGTCGCCATGGCCCCCTGCGAGGTAAGCGGGAGAGGGCGTTGCCTCTCGAGCTGCTTCTTACCATTTCCTCTCTCAAGCATCTTTTCAAAAGGAGCACTGCTGTGGCCTCTACCGGGAGGCGTGAACCGGGGGGCGTGGAAATGTGTTGTTGTCTCCACACGCATTGAAAACCGTTCCGGTCTGCACTCAGTACCTTCTACTGTCCATATTGGTCCAACTGACGAACGCCTTCGGTGGTATATGTGGGCGATGTGTGTTTGTGAATAATGGGGCTCTTCCGCGCGGGTCACGTGCGTTCGACTCCCAATGCACAAGTTGGAAGGAGGTGACGCCCGGACACACAGATGGCTATCGCCCGTACACCTCCGCTTGTCTCTTCTTCTCCGTTATGCTCGCCTTGAACTTTTGTTTTTTTTTTGCTCCAACATCTTCGAACTGCCGTCATTCCTTTTTTTGTCTGTGTCAACAACCCCAAATGTTCATGGTGGTAGCTATGCAAGCCGTTCCTTTTTTTTGTCTCTATCAGCCCCAAACGTTCATCGTAACTATAAGAGTCCCCACACCACAGCACGCCCTCGTCCCCTGCGACTTGCGATCCGTGGGAACGCGCGCGCGCAGGACCACCGCTGCTTGACCCCGCCGAGCCCCCCCTCCACGGCCTTGGAGGCCCGCGCGCTGTACGTCTGCTGGGAGAGCCGCCTGCCCGACCTCCGCCGCTCCCACGCGCTCCGCCTTCTGGAGGCCGTCGCGGCCCACGCCGCGTTTTCGTCCCCGCCTAACACACGCTTCTCCAAGGCGGTGGAAACCCACGTGTTTTTGGCGTGGTCGCCGCTGGCGACGGCCAGGGCAGACATGAGAGCAGTCGAGAAAGATGGGCAGGGCGTTCAGGGCAGCAGCTCGAGGAGCAGCGGCGGGCCAGGGTCGCGCGTTTTGTCCTTCTTGCACGGGACAGGTTCAGCTCTACCAGACGGGGTCTTCGACAACATGCCTGTTGCCAGCGGCGGAGGAAATGGTTGCTCGGCCCCGGCGGCGACCGGGACTACCATTGCGGCGGCGGCGGCTCCTAAAGACGGGACACGGGATGTGAACAGCGATAGAAGCGGTGCGTCGGCGGTGTCAGCAGGGACGGAGAGGGAAAAACGAGACACGCACGAGGAGCGACGAGGACCGGGCACGGAGCGGGGGGACCCGCAGAGCGCGGGGAGGTGGGGTGGGGCCCCCGTGGACCCCGAGATGGAGGCTTTCCGGCGGGTGTACCTGGGTTTCTACAAGAACCTGGTGGAGGCCAAAGGAGTGCCTTCCGGGTTCAGATCGTGCGCGACGAAGTCGATCGGCGACGGTACGTAGGTCCTGCTTCTGTCAGCAGCTGCTGTTGTTATCGTGCGCAGTCAAGTCGACCCCCACGCGTAAGCTGTTGAGTTGAGTTTCAGTACACAGTGTGAGTATCGACATGAGACTACAAACACTGATGTGAAGACACTGGAGGTTTGGACTCCTCGCTCGTGAAGTAACCGCTCTTCTTGCCTGCCTCCGTTATCGACTGGGCTTGCATCTTGGGGGAAAAAGAGTTGGAGTTGTCCCATACGACCATGGCCCGGTCCCGAACCGACAATATCCTGTCCACAGCTCCGACGCGATGGAGAGCCACACTCCCACGCCACCGCTTTTCGCGATCTTTTCTTTTTCGTGCACTCCTCCCCCTCCCCGTGCGGCGCTGTAGCGTCCGATACGGAGGCTGCGCTCATGCAGGGGATCCGGTGGCGCGTTCTCGATCTTAGCTTCTGTCCGGACCGGATGTCATCTTGGAAAGGGTTGGCGCAGGTGGGTGTTGCACCTTTTGCTTGGGTTCTGGAATTCAGTGAACGGTGCGGTGCGGTGCGGTGCGGTGCGGTGCGGTGCGGTGCGGTGCGGTGCGGTGCGGTGCGGTGCGGTGCGGTGCGGTACAGTTCAGTGCGGTGCGGCCGCAGTGGACGGTTTTGGGGGCCTGTGTGTTGCTCGATGGTGTGTGTGGTCAGGAGAGACTTTTCCTGTTGGGTGAGGCGACTCCCTGCAAAGTGGCACGTGATCGAAAGCACATTTGAAAGCATTATGAGCGTTTGGTTTTTGTTTGTGTGGGAACTTTCCCACGGACAACCAAGCCGACATTCGAGAGGCCTTGGCGTGGGCCATCTACTAACCTTTGTTCGAGAGGGTACAACTGGGTTTACGTCCCCGCCCTCCCCGCCCCCGTCCCCTTCCCGGTTCCCCCACCCCCTCCCGCCCGCTGAACCCCCGTCAGTGCGCCTGTCGCCTGGCCGCCCTCTACCTAGACGCCTTTTCTCCGTCGTGCCATCGGTTGGGGATGCCCCTCATGGCAACAGCGGCGCCAGCTCGGAAGCCGATGGCCGACTCTCGAGCAGCAGGCCGCGGGAACCCTCCTCGATCTCCATCCGCCCCTGGCACGAAGGCCGGGGGGGAGGGGGCCGAGGCGATAGACTCGAGTGCGGCGGAATCTCCTGGTTCGTGTCCCGCCGCCGTTGCGCCGGGAGACACGCCGTCGCCCAACGCAGACGCCGTGATGTCGGATGTTGTTGATGCCGTTGATGGCGGCAGCAGTGGCGTTCCCGCTGGCTCACCCGCTCCTGGAAGGAAGGAAAGCGGCGGGGGGACTGGGAACGGTAGCGGTGTCGGTGGGGGCAGCCCCAGCAACGTGACGCCACCGGCCCCCGCCAACGATGCGACCATGGCTATCGAAGTAGCCGGAACCCGCAATCCCGAACAGGCAGGGCTGGGCGGCGACGACATTCCGAACTTGGTGATAGACATCGGCGACGGCGACACCCCAGCCGTAGCGGATGCCGCTGCCCCGATCGCGGCCGGCGGCACTTTCAGCGGGTCAATGGACGTCAGCACCGGACGCGGAAGAGCCCCCAGCAGCCTTGCGACGGCCGCCGCCGCCGGGTGCGCTACGATAGCGCCCCGTTCAACCTCGATGGTGACAGACGACGGCCGCAGTGGCAGCGGCAGCGGCGGTGGCGGCGGCGGCGGCGGCAGCGGCAGCGGCGTCGACCTTCTCGGCAAGCGCCGCCTTTCAACGGCCTACACGGGCCTCGTCATAGACACCGGCGATGCCGTTCTCCCCGCCGACGGCAGCGGGGCACGGAAACGGGGACGTCAGGGCGGCGGCGGATCGGAGAAGGAGACGCAGAGAACGGCATCGCCGCCGCCGTTCCAAGCGCTGGGGCTGCGGGGCACTCCCGGCCCCGACCTCGGCCCCTTCTTTCGAGGTACTTCGCTTGACGCGAGGGCAGCCAGGAAGGATGGGAAAGGCGGTGGGAGGCGGGGTGGCACGAGGTTGGCCGCGATTGCCGAGGGCCTGCGCCGTCTTGGGGCATCCGGGGCAAGAACGGCGGCGGAGTCGGCGGCGGCCGAGACGATGGCCACCCGGATTTTAGGCGGCAGCGCCACGCACGAGGTGCGGATGTTGGTGTCATGTGTTTCTGAGGTAGTTTGGTCAGGAACGAAGGAGGATAGTCATGTTGTAGTCTGGTAAATGAGTGTGAAGTAGGTTTCTGCGTGGTCAGAAACTAAGGAGGAGAGGAAGGTAGCACCGTTGAGGTTCTGTGCAGGAATGGAGATTCACCTCAGAAACTGAATAAACGAGATATGGCAGCCTAGCATTGGGGCGTTCAAAAGATATGAAAACACGATTTTTGGAAAGGTGTGTGCGGTAAGCATCGGCAGACGTGATTGGACACAGCATGAGTCCTGGAGTGCCGGCTGCAATGATAGCTTGGAACTGTTTTCGCTGTTCGCGCTCGATGAGGGAGGGTAGCGAGCGACAACCAGACGGTCCAATCAGCGCGTTGTTGTGCTTACGGACGTTTCGGGCATAGCGTGCCAGCGGGTAGTGGGGGTATTGCTGCTATGCGACCCCACTGCTGTACCCTGACGGGCAGTTTCTTTCTACCGACCGGTGCTGTCCGCTGTCGGAATATTGTCAGGCACTCGCGCAAGAGCGTGACGGACAGAGCTAGCGCCCTTATGCGCCCACCCATTTACGGCAGGGTTGTTTTATGTTCACGTGCTAGAATGCTCATGATATCGCTGACAACGATTCCCTCTCAGTCTCTGTCGGCGTGTGCGGCGCAAGCAAGCACAGCATGAACACACACACATACCGCTGTACTACAATGTCCTTCCTTTCAGGAATGGGCCGCTTGCCTCGGGCACGCCTCCATCGCCGCCGCCGTCGGAGCCGCAGAAAAGGCTTTCTCGGCTTGGAAGGCGCTAGCCGAGGAAGCCCTTGCGAAGGCGCGTAGGGAGGCGCTCAGAGGTGGCGGTAAGGGCGGAGGAGGGCATGAAGGAGGAGCGGATGGAGGAGGTCTCGACGCCTGCGAGACGGCGGCTAGAGACCTCGCCGAGTGCTGCGAGGTGAGCGGGAACCACGCCCGAAGAAATGTTAAGTGGTGGTCTTTTTTGGAGGGCCTCGCTCGAACAACCACGTCAACAAGGGGTGTCAGTAACCTACCGTTTCAACTATATTCGGCGAGGCGGGCGTTGCTACATGGTTGCTGTTGGATAGGTCGATATCCACGTCTACAAGTAGGGTGAAGTGCGGAGGCTGTCTTGGTTGGTGCATTTTTTTTCATCAATCCGGCGGAAGAGGACACGTAGTAGACCACGCACGCTTACGTTTCTGCGCTTGAAATACGTACCAGCACGACAAAATGATCCGGCGCAAACTCATTCCTTAATTTGTTTCGCGCCACACCAACCAGGAAGAAGCCTTCATGAAGTTCATGCTTGCCCGCGACGTATGGCCCGGTGCCGAGCCCGCCTCCACCGCCACCGCCTCGGCCGCCGGCGGTGCGGCTTCCGTTACCGCTGCGGGCCCCGCCCCCACCGCCGCCACCGCACCCGCCGCCCGTGTTCCAGCCGGCCTCGAAGCGGGTGGACGGCGACGCCTCCTGGAGTCGTCGCTGTCGCTGCTGCAGAGGGCGCAGCGGCTCCGCGAAACGGGGGGGGAGGGGGGGGGATCGTCGTCTTCGGCGCGCTCGCCCTCCCCGCCTTCGACGGCGTCGTCTTCCCCGCGTTGCCGGCGGCCGCTCAGCGGGTCTCCGGTGTCGTCCCGGCCGCGGTCGCCGAAGACGCTCGCGCGCGAAGCCTTTGCCGTCGGAGGGGGAGGGGAGCAGCAGGACAAGTCGGCGGCCAGAAAACGGCGCAAGCTGTTCGAAGCCTCTTCTTCCCCGGGCGGCGGCGGCGGCTCGGCTGCCGCTGCTCTGCCTCATGACTCCGCGAGGGTGAGAGGAGGGGGGGTGGGGAAAGAGGAGAAGAGGAACCGGGAGGCGGGTAAGGGGCAGGAAGAGGAGGAAGATGAGGACGAGGACGACGTACTGCGCTGGCAAGTGCCGTTCGTGATGGGGCGGCTCTGCTCGCAGCTCGGCAAGGACCCGCGGGCTGTCCTGGAGAAGCTCGCGGAGGCGTTACGCTTGGCCCAGGTAGCGCGGCGTGATGTCGACGTCCCTGTTTGCATGTTCGTTGTGTATTTCGTACGTTGATGCACATTAGCTGTTGTTGTTGGTTGCCGTTGTCGTTGAAACCATTGTTGGTTCAAGAGCCATTTTTTTTTTGTTTTTTTTTTTTGTCTTCACTTCAAATCAGCGCTCACAGCACTAGTGCCGTTTACTCCAACCCGTGGTCACACAGAAGAGCCCCTCTCTACCCTCCCCTCCTGCGGTACTTTGCCTTCGATTTTTAATGCGAGAAGAGTTCAGCACTCTCTTCCCTCTGTGTACACACGAACTAGCGCTATCCACTAGACCAGGAGCGGAAGCGAGAGAAAAACTCACTTTGCAAGAAAATCTCGCTTACGCCGGGATTCGAACCCCTGACCTGACCTCTAGAAGGTTTCGCGGAGCCATGCACCCACCCCATGGACTTTCGTTGTGGATTTTTTACGTTGATGCACGTTTACTGTCGTTGGTGGTTGCCGTTGTCGTTAAAATTGTTTTCTTTCGAGAGCCGTGCACCCGCCGTGGACTTCCTCTGATCAGTTCCGTTGCCACCTTTTCTTGTGAACTTCCGGGTGTAGGGGGAGCACGTGCCCTTAGAAGATGAGCTGGAGGCCCTATGCCGCTTGCACTCGGCTCGCGTGGAGCTGATTCTCTCCGGAGACTCGACGCGCTTCGCTGCCGTTGCCTCCACCGTGGAGGCGTTTCCTTTCCGAGAAGATGACACGGATGGCGACGACGAGGAGGGGGGCTCCGCAGATTTCGCCCCCCCTCCCGCCATATTTTCTACCTCGCCGTCCGCCACACCCGCCGCCGGTGGCGGCGGTGGCGGTGCTCCTGTGGGACAGGGGGCCGAGGAAGAGGATATATGTGCGCGGAGGCTCTCGGTTCTGGAGAACTGTCTGGACGCTTTCGAGAGGTTGGTGTCGCCTTTGGTTGTTGCTGCACCGCGGTTCTCGCGCCATCGTTTCGAACAAGAACGGCTGCTGTTCGTTTTTTTGCTTTGAAACCGCCACATCGGTTGACACAAAAAAGCGTTTCTTGTTCCACGATTAGGACCCCTGTTGCACCCCACGGAACCAACATGCCACAACCTCCTACCGGAATGCGGGTGTAGCGTAGCGTCTATTTCGCCAGTTGTACTGCCTTCGCCACCAGTCCGTGCCACGCCTCGACTAAATAAGTATTGGCTTGTCTCCGGAAGGTGTGATTGGCTAGATAAATTGTCTCCGAGCGACTCTGTCCCTGAATCCGTGCACGCTTGTTCCCTCCTCCTCTTTGGCGGGCGTTATGGAACAAACACCATAACTGCGTCACTAGTTGCCTCGACGAGAACAAGGGGCAACACACCGCCATCTTCGCCATGGCGAACGCTATGTACAGGGGAGTCGCCATCGCCGACGACGCCCGCCTGGTTCTCTCGAGCGCAGAGGCCATGTCTCTTATGGTCAGGAACAGGTACGAGGCGGCGAAATGGCAGCATCGCTTCGACACCAACACTTAAACCGCTCTTGCCGCAAACTTAGGCTTAGGGTTGGGGTTAGGGTTAGGCTCCGGCAGTCACGTGTTACCGACCAGCTCCACTTGTTTCGCTTTTTTTTCGCTGATTCGGGAAGACGTGGGCTTTTTCGTATGTATGTTTCCTTTTTTTTGCGCTCATGCCGTGTGTTCGAGGCAAGAGCATTTTCTAGCAACCAATACGGAAGAACAATAGCCGCGGTGTCGGCATCACTCGCGCAAGCCGCCGAGAGGCCCAACAGCAAGGGGGTCGTCGTGTATTATTTCCCTTTGTTTGTGCCTGTTAGTATCTAACGCTGAGCAGGGGACTTGCCCAAGCTCCGCTTCCAACGCTACAGCCAGAGATACACACCAGCTTACAACAACCGCAGCTCATGAATCGCACCCTTCGTGTTACCCTTCTCTCCTTGCGTGCGTACTCCGTCAGCCAACGGGGACGGGCGTACGGCCCCCAGGCAGCCCTCCAAACGCTGAAACCGCTCTTCGAGAAGCGGCAGCAGCTCCTTCTGGCGATGAGCGCTTCGGACGGCGTGGTCGGGCCGGGGCTTGCTCTGCTGAGCTCGAGAAGGCGCAAGCTCCAAGCCCTCAAAAGAAAGGTGCATGTATTTTGGCAATACTACAAGGTATCAAAAAAGAGTCAGAACACGACAGGTTGGGATAGCTGTTTCCGCCGCAGAACCCAAGCTGGGAGCCTGTCGTTGTGGATGACAGCTAAACGAGAAGTGTGGAGGACATGCTGTATCCATTGTTGCACGTACAAAAATAGGACCAAGATACGATCCGAGCGGAGGATCTTACTGATGGTTGATCAGCAAGAAACCCGACTATGGATGCGTCCCTCTTGGCGCCAACTGCGGAGCTGGGGAATCCGAGACCCTCGGTCGTGGTCGCCCTCGCCCCTCTGGTGGCACTCTATTTTTTCTCTCTCTTCCGAGACCTTCTCCTTGCCAAATCTCAACGAAGGAAAACTGTCAGCCCTTACTAGTGGGCAAAGACTTCTCTGACCGGGACCTCCCCCTGACGAGGGGAGCCTGTGTCCTTAGAAGGAAGCGTGTATGTGGATTCCGTATGCACACACCAAGTGTGCAGTAAGATACATCCTCAGAAATTCGGACAACCTTTCGGAGGTCGGGACACGGCTTGCGAACAGACGAGTCTTGGGTATGCCGACCCTCAGTGAGCCCGGGCTCGATCCACTCTCTTCTTGGCCCCTCTCCTCGTCTGAATCTCACGGAATGAAACCTGCCTGCCCTCAGAAGCGGGTCGAAGCTAAATTCTACGACCTTGAGGACCCTTCGGCCACGGTTTCTACAGAAGGAACCCGGTCCTCATCTTGCATTTTACTTGAGACTTGCAAGTGTGCATTTGCTCGCACCCTCGTATTTCCTCCTGGCTGTCCGTGGTTCACAGTTAGCCGCAAACTGAATCGTGAACAAGAGAAAACACTATACTACAGTATTGGCTGTTGGCCGAAGGGGGTGTGGTCACTTCCTGAAGATTCGCCTGGCGTACTGTACCCCCTTTTGGCTGACCCGGACCGTGTGTGCCTGTTCCTCCAGCGGTTCGAAGGTCCCTGAATAGAAACTGAAGCCCTCGATCTACTAGGCTACGGCCTGTTTGTACGAACGGCCCCGCCCCTGGTCCGTCCAACACGCCTTGATCGACTCCCTCACCGACGACCGAACGAAAAATGTACCGAGTTGTCTGATCGCTCTTCCAGCTAAAAAATCCCTCTCACGGTCCCCGCCTTTGTACCGTCTGGGTGGCTGTCTGATCGCTTACTAATAGTTTGGAAATCCCTCTCACGATTCCCACCTTCGTACCGTCTGAATAGCTATCTGATCGCTGACTGATAATTTGATAATCCAGAGTCTCACGAATCCCACCTCCACACCTTACCGTCTGGATGGCCGCCCTTCTTGGGGCATGACATGGAATTGCAGTACTACGCCCTGTACATTGAGCTTTTGCGAGCCACGAATAACACCGGGACGCTCCAGGGGCTCCTGCGGCGGACGAAAGGTGTCCGGGAAACCCGCGAAGAGGTGGTTTGGGTGCAACGGGGAGTCCTACGGTAAGCGTGCCTCTTTCACCCCCATGTCCGGTCTCTCTCCCTCTCTCTCTGCCTCTCTTGTTGCCATTTTTCTATCTATCTCTCGCGTTTCCCTTTCTCGCTCGTGTGAGCGCTTGGTTCACGGCGGCCGCGTCTTTTTGTTCTGCCTTTACAGATCTAGCCTGGTTCACCGGTTCTCTTTTCCGTTATGTGCGTAGGTCGTCCGGTAACATGTTTTTTTTTCCCGTCGCAGCAGTTCTATGTCACGCCGCCATTCCGCCCAGTTGGTTGTGAGAATCCCTGTGTCACCCTACTTTGTGCGTTGCTCGTTTAGTCCCACCAGTTCGCAACAACGCACATCACATGTGAACGAATTCGACCCGACACTTGACTCCAAGAACAACAAGTATCAGAAAAGGCACTCCATTGGCGATGCGGATTCCAACACTTAAGGACAAGTTTCTTCACGACAGGCTACCAGCATCCCCCCACCCCCACCTCATCCCCCAACCCCCGCCTCATGCCCCCACCCCCGCCTCTTGGGTCGTGCTACCCCCACCCGCCATCCTCCAACAGGGCTCTCCTCGCTATCCTGAGGTCCGACATCGACAACCGTGCGCAGAAGCGGCTGCACGGCGTTGCAGCCGCCGCTGCTCCTTCCCCCTCTAGGGGTGCCGGCGCAAATCCACCGCCGACGCTATCGACAAGGCCTGCCACCGCCGCCGCGGGTGCCGCAGCTGTCACGGGAGACGGAAACACGAGCGCCACGGCCGGGCCACGCACCGGTACCGAGGCGGAAGTCCTCCGGGCGGTGGACAATCCGGGTGCCGCCCAACCGCAGGCAAGAGCAATGGCGGGGGCGGCGGCGGCGGCGACCGGGGTGGTGCCGGGGCCGCTAGGGCAGAGCAAGGAGGTTGCGGCCGCCACGCCGGCGGCGGCGGCGGCAAGTGGTGGGAGCAACGCTGCGAAGCCCGGGGGCGACGAGAAACCGGCTCTTGAGAACGCCTGGAATCTCTACGTGCAGGTAGATACCGAAAGTTCTGTTGTGTTCGCGAGTCAGGGACGAGCGCATGTGGTGTTCATGCCTCCAAGAACCCAGCAAGGGCCGCCGAAGGCTTAGTCTATTGCGGGCTAATAACAATCCTGTCGAGTGGACAGAAGCAGACAGCAGTAAAAGTAGGACTGAGGGAAGGACGAAACGGCACATCCTGCGTAGCCACACCCCGCTCTCGCCCTAACCTAGGCCTCGGGGGGGGATTCCTCCCTCTGGTGTCCCAGAACCTCGACAGACTACCTCAAACAACGTTGTACATTCTTCAACGTGGTGCGGATGTACAGGTGGTCGACCTGGAGTCTACCACACGAAGCGGTGGCGGCAGCAGCAGTAGCCTTCGACCGGGACAATCTTCTTGTTTCGGTCTAACGCTCCTCGGGGATGCGGAAGAGGTTCTCGTCAAGAGCTGGCAGGCGTTCGGCGCTGCCAACGCCGCCGTGCTGGAACTCGTGGAACTACAGAACCCCCTTCCTTCGCCGGGAAAGGGAGCGGGACCGGATACCGGCGGCGGGATGCTCTTACGCAGGTGATTTGTTCGTTCTGCGTTTTACCACATTTTTTTTTTTTCATGAGCGCTCGCAGCATTCTGCCGGGTGGGAGGTCCAGTCCTTGGCCACACACACAGTCAAGCCCTAAAATAGACGCAACAGGGAAGGGCCCGTTGAGTTTGTAGGGGAATGATGTCTGCCGCGCAACCCGGCTGTAACCTGTGGGCCCACTGGTAGTTCTCCTGGGTCTTTACCCGTGCTTTGGCGGGCTGTTCCATGTTTCCCGCTCGGCCTTTAGAAAACTCTGGGTTGTCAGCTTGGCTGCCACAAGGGCCGTGCGGAATCCCGATTCCCGATACTCTCCGTTCCCGCCTTAGCGGTGGGTGGTTCTCTGCGATGAAAGTGTCCGGGGTCGGCACCGGAACAATCCATATCTTGTAGCCAACACAATCCCGTTGACCTCGGATATTTCTTTCGCTCGGCCTCTAAACAGGGCACGAGCCTGTTGCCACGTCTTCTGGCCGGACAAACAGGGGAGGGGCAAGATGTCCAAGTCAAAGCTCAAGCTCAAACGTCCGGCGGCGGCGGCGGTGGCGCTGCCGCTTGCATCTTCCGCCAACCGGGCTGCTCCTCGCCCGAAAGTGCAGCCTCGTACGACGCCGCCACCTGCTTCGGCGGGGGCGGCGGTGGTAGCAAGGGACGCGGTCCAGCAGGACAAATCGACGGGAGGCAAAGGTGGAAAAGAGGCTAGGCCGGACGTAGCCACGGCCGGGCCAGCAGCAACAACACCAACACCATGAACAAAACGAACGGCTGCCTGCTCCAACAGGAACACCATGAACGAACAGCCAGATACCTGCTTCAACAGGAAGCCTCGTGGTACCTGCAACGTTAGCAACGGTGCGCCCCCCCCGGGGGGCGGGAAGGAGCGATACAGGAGAGGCGGGAGTGCGGAGAAGTCATAGCCGCGCTGCAGAATTTGAGAGCAACACACGTTGCCAAAGAGGATTCTGTTAGGCATCGGAAATAGCTCCGCCGGCAACGACTACTTGTACGTGTGAGGTTGTTAGCCTTGCCTCCCTCTGCGACACTTTGGGTATGTTTGTCGCCGGTCCGGTCTGCAGGCCTGGGCTTTGAATTTTTTGGGGTTATTGTGGCGCCGGTCTCTACCGTTGCTTCGACCCCGTTTGAGGTCTATCTTAGACAATGGGCAGGGTTTCGATAGGAGGGCGCTGATAGAAACAGGGGGTAGGGTGACGTGCCATCGCTGCTGCACCAGCAACTTGGCGAGAAGTGGAACCGGGTTGTGCACAGGTTAAGTAGTATTTCGTAAATATTGATTACAACACGGCTGCCATCGCTTCGTCTTTCCCGAAAGCAAGACGGCATCAGCAGACGAACGACGGGGAGAGCGGACGCTGCGCAGAACACATTTTTAAATCACAAAACAACTGAAAGTTGATAACGCAGTTACACACGTACCGCATGCTTTTTTTTAGGCCGTCCAAGTGTTGGCACAATAGACGCTCGTGAGGGGGGTAGACTATCCGCACTTACGTCGTACGTGGTGAGGACGGAGAATTGCTTGGCGTGCATGCATGCTAGCGTGCGGTGCCGGACGCTGTGTACCCGACGCGTTCTCTGACAAAGGTGATGTTTCCGTGTAGTCGTTTTTCGTCGTGTTGTCAACGAACAACGCGTACCTCTACTGATGTACAATAGCGTTCATATTTTGTGTTGCTTGCCATATGGTCGTAATGTATGCGCTGGGTATTGTGCATGCCGTACTGCTGTATAGAACAGCCGCCAGCGCCTGCATGTGCGCTTCGTTGCCTGTGTACGTTAGTTGCCAGGGACGTGTGGGTTTGACGACCCCCATTGGTTATTGTTGTCGATGTCTACTTGTGGCGGAGCGCTCCTACGATCCCGTTTGCGCCGTCTGTGTCAAGATGCGACGACTTCTCCCGACAAGGCCTGCAATGCTCATAAGTGAGCCACCACGCTGCCGACCCCGGAATGTGCGATTTCCACCTTCCACATCGAAGCTTGCCTCATTGCCCACGCCCCGCCTGAATCACCAACCTTCCGACCAATACGTGACACCAGTGACGAAGATTTTGCAGGAAAACGATGCGCAACCACCCGTCCGTGCGTGTTGCAATTTATTGTGGGCCCCGGTTGAAGCGAACGGTGTTGTGACCTCAGAGGGCACCGCCGTGACCGCCTCCTCTGTACTGAACGGAAGAGAGTACCGCGTCCGCCTGCCCAGACGGGGCCCGCGTGCAACTTGTGAATGAACAAATCAGACAACCCTCCAACGGCTCCCTTCTTTTTTTTGCCACACAGACGGACGGCTTTGTTGCCAATCATTCATCACCATTTTTTTTTTCTTCGAAAAGACCCGTTTACTTTTTCGCCTCCGCCTACGAGCATTCCTTGCACGCGTTACCCTACTACCCTGCTGCTGAACGCGTTAAGTGACAGCAAAGGCCACGGTTGCCTTGCCTTCCAATACCCACGCCTCCCCAGCGTTTCCCACGGGGGTTCTGGTCGTGTGTGGTGTTGCGCGGAGCGTGGTGCGCACTGTGTGACATCCCTTCGTCGTCATTGGAACTCCCGACGGTTTCATTTCCTTTGATTGTTGACAGAACGGAGAAGACACGACGCCACTGCATGTAGAACATCCCCAAGCTTGGTAAGGAAGCAACAACAGTGACCAGGAGCAGGCGGGCATGCTGTGTGCATCTAGGAGACATCGCACAGATCCACCCAACCAAGTAGTCTACCGCATACTGTAGGTCATGAGCCAGAGGCCAGTGTCGTATTCCGGCCGACGAAGAGAGCGGAGACGTCACAGGAGACACAGAATCATACAACGGCAGGGCACGATCACACATAACTTGTAGCTATCTGAGGCACGGACAAGACCCAGCAAGGCCAACCGGCCTAGAACGAGAGAGGCAACGCAAGCCTATTACTGAGGGGAGAGTCGGCTTCCAACACAGCGAACAGATAGATATATCGACGGAACCGTCATCGGTAGACTACAAACTCTAGGCAGTATTGTGAAGCGTGATGGTATCCAGCAGAATTGCTCCTACCGAGACTAGCGAAAACATGGCCGCATCAATAGAGGGTGGTGCTGGAGACAACAAGACCGCGGCCACCACGGTGGAAAAGAAGAGGCAGAGCGGTAGCGGCCGGGCAAAAAAACGTTCACATTCGTCACAGGCAAATGACGCTCATCATGGAGAAGGGGGAAATATTGCCCAATCGAACGCCGCTACGGCGTCCTCCGCCGGTCTTGCGACGTCTTGCTCGGACGGAAATGACAGAAAGCACCACCGCCGACGCCACCGCCATCGCCACGGGTCCAAGGGTGCTACAGGGGCCACAGCCAACAAGCACAACACCCACGGCGCGGACACAGCCTCGGATACGGAGGCTGGAGGACAAGAGGACAAGCTCAAGCTGCTCGTGGAGTTCATACCCTATGTGGGACTCGGCGACGCCACGCGAGACAACATGGTGCGTACGAGCAGGTGGTTCTTCGTTTTCATTCGCTATCCGATCACGCTCAAGCTTGAATATAGTGCCACTACCGTAGATAGATGTATACTGTAGATGCTTCACTATTTGGGAGAACGTACGTAGTCGTGAGCTCATGACGGCCTTCGTCGGGTCCGTACTTGACACCACAAACAAACGTGTGAAGTCCGTATCACCCGTGGGTACAACTAAGAGTACGCCGCGTGATTCCCTCAATCCATAACCATACGACCAACTGTACTGTAACCAGGTACGGTCCATACTCAGCGCTGCCGACGCGGAGGAACTTGTTGGAAGGGACGACTATGGCAACACACTCCTTATCCTCGCTTGTCAGTACCGGTGCAAAGCCCTCGTACCACTCATCTTGGCGAGGGGCGGCGGCGCTATTGACGTTGACGCGGTCAACTCTGAGGGCGCTTGCGCGCTGCACTTTGCGTGCTATAAGGATAGCGTTTGTGCGCAGACGGCCGTGCTATTGTTAGAGCGCGGGGCTGAACCCGAGGTTGTGGAAAAAACCTACGGGTGAGCTCATTGTTAAACTCGTCTTCACATCCCACACCATTCCGATCTCTACGCAGTTGTACCTTCGCGATACGTGACCTTAGCCAATCAGTAGAGAGAGCAGATCGCTGTGGTCACGGACTACTTTATGTAGACAACAAACAAGATCTAACCCCCAGACCAACACGCAAACGTCCATTCCTCGAACATCTTTTGTCGAGCCATTCTACTGCTACGGCAAAGTGTGGGGTTTTGAGCTCGAAGTCAGGGAGGACATTATCATTCGAAGGTGATCTCGTGTTGTGCACGGCTTCGCATCTGCCGTTATTTGCAAAAAATGGCAAATAGAATGAGCTACTGTCAGCAAGGACCAACCCCATGGTGAGGGTCTCCAGGGACGTGAGAGGGGTGCATCTTCCGGTCACTAGCTGTTATGAGCGTTGAAACGCGGCATATTTCTTCACAATGTCCGCGCGTATTTTGAACCTCCGTCCGGAATAACTTAGCTATCTGTGATGTACGTTGCGCGACGGAACGACAATATTTAAAAAAGGTGCACGCCGCTGCACTATGCAGCGGGTGCAGGGGACGTCAACCTCTGCAAGCGGCTAATAGAGAAAGGGGCCAAGGCGAACACTTGGGATTTGTACCAGTACACCGCCGTCGACTACGCCAAGCAGTCCGGGGCGACAGACTGTGTTGACTATCTGGAGGAAGTTTCGGCGCCCGGGGCTAGCTCCACAGGTAAGGAAAAGGCCCAACAAGCGACGAGTAGTGACACCCACTGTTTCAGTCCCGAGCGCCGCTTAGTGCCGCTGTCCTTCCATCAACATTTCCTCGCCGTTAAGTGTCGTCGTTGAGGCGACGTGGCGGGGATGGAAGGGATCTCGGAGTCCCCATTTCGTTTCCACGGGTATCGAGCCGTCACGGTCTTCTTCCTGGATCCTGTGTTTTTTCGTGGATTGGTCTCAATACGACCACAACAATGATAGCTTTTGTGGACGCCAACAAGTCGCATACATACTGTAGTACAGCAGACATGACGGAAATACTTTGGGTCTTCGAGAGTAAGGGGGTTTAAGGCCCAACATTTGAGATATGATACGCAACTAATTAGGGTTGATGGGGAGCTCATACAGCTAGTTTTTGCTCCTGTTCAAAAACCGGCGAGAAACAAAAAGTAGTGGCTACCATAACCGCATCCCAAAGGTATCTGCTCTGTGGCTGCTGCAACGGGTCTATACTTCTCTTTTTCAACAAAACCAACGCAGATACGTTCCTCGATCGCCAAACCTACTGGCCTGTCCACCTGTCCGTTCGTCCGTCTAAAACAAATAGCCACCATCAAGTTCTCCACCGGGCGTGGGGGGATCGTGACGAGCTCGGGGGTAGAGGCATCATCTACCGGTTTCGTCCGCGAAGACAGCTTCGACACCGAAGACGGCGACGACTTTCGCCCACAAGGAAATGCCACCAGTGCTATTGCCACTGGGTGGCTGGGAATGGTGGGGCGGCAGCCGAGCGCCTTCCACGAAGGCTTCGAAACGGGAGGGGAGGACGACGGGGAGGGCTTCTGGGGGAGGCAGTGCGACCCTGATTCCGGGATGGCCTACTACCTGAACGAAAAGGTCGGTGCAGGTTCTCGTTTTGATCTCCAGGTGGTTCATGTCTATGTCACGTTTGGTCGTTAGCAGTCCGCGGGGTGGAGAGGTGGAAGCGGGGAGTGTGATGCGACCCGGCGTTCACAACTGTTTTCATTCCGGAGTTATCTGTACTATTTCTGGTCTTTTCAAAACTGCAATCAAGGTGTCGAGGGGGACGTGCTGGTTGGTAGGAATCGGTTGCCAACATAGGACTTGGTTGCGATTCACTTCATCGTCTAGTCTACCACAATATTTGTGGCGTTGTCGTTGTGCGGCTGCTGTCAGCCACGCTCCTTTTCTTCGAGGGTGTTCGAATGATTCAGGTCAACTTTGGATGCCAAGCCAGAGAGGGTTGTGGAAAACGAGTTATTCCGATACTTCGTTTTCCTTGGTGTGGCGAAGCAACACCTGTACCTGTGTTTTGTTCTGACAGACTGGAGAGAGCATGTGGGAGAAGGACCTGCTAGCGCAGGCGCAGGCTCTCCGCAAGGAGGCCGGCGACGAGAATCCCTCGCCACACCTGCAGCAGTGGCTGAGGCAGCAGACGCACAAGGCGCGCTTGATCGCCTTCCTCGGGCGGCATGACCCTCTCAAACTCATGCAGGTGGGATGCAGTTGTTGCACATGTTGTGCTGCTGCTGCTGTTGTAGTTGCTTGCGTTGCTTATTGCGAAAATCAGTTTTCCATCAATGATGATTCCGCATGCCAGATGCGACGGTGGTCTTGATTCGATACAGACGGCTCCCAACATAAGGTTCGGTAAAAACGCGTAGCTCGCATGCGTACACACCGTGCTCTCCGCCGGTAGAAGTATCCATGTTTACTATTGATGTGGGTGTCCCGCGGCGGGGGAAACCAGCCGACTAGAAGAGACAGATGCATAATATCCTGTGGCGAGATCGACGATTGTGCAGCATCTCCTTGCCATAGTAACCGCTGACAACGCCCATGGTCATTTGGACGCCCTCCCCCACAATAATCATCGGTGAAGCACAGAAACCATGAAAGTGCTGCGTTTTCTTGCCCCCCTACCTTTGAGAATGCCCCCGACGGAGGGTTCTTTTGTGCGAATTTTTTGTTTGGTCTCCTCCGGAACGTTCACAAGATAATCCGACACACGCGGTCTGGCAACGTTGCTGCTGCTGTCGAGTTCTTCTCGTTGTAGTTGCTGTTGCGGCTGGCCGTTGTCATATTCAAAACGCTTCCACCTAGTGTAAGTCAAGCGATATGTTCTTCCCGGTACCCCTGCCGATGAACGCACGAGTTGCGGGTCTGTCCTTGCTCAGCGCCAAAACGTCGTTTGATGCGGCAAGACTCAACAAGCTAGAGTGGTATTCATTGGTCCTGCTCATTGCTTACGCTAGCGCAAAACGGAGAGACTACGTCCCCCAGGGTTGTTCAAGAAGGAGACCAACGGGTGTTCATCTCGGGTTCGTTGCTCCTGTGTTGTATTTTGCCCCGCAACCTTCGACAACGCTCCGAGGGTTGTTTTAACCCAAGTATTGAGTAGGGACGCCCCCCGGGACATTCTCAGGGGATGTTCCAACGGTATCGGGATCGGAGTCACTCAACGGTTACTTTTCAACACCCGATGGTCGTGTTCGTTAAGGTGGACGACATGTTGAAGCGGCGATTAGGCGACGAGGAGACCCTGTTCAACGAACTCGCCAACCAGTACTCCGCTCAAGAAGATCCCACCGTCACCGCTCTCGTGAGAACACCTCCAAGCAAACGTCATGTGCACATGACGGCTTCAAAGATAGGACGAACACGTTGGAAACTGTGGCGTCGACTACCAGGAGAAACGTGCGCTGGCCCACCACTAGTTGGGGAAGGGTGATGGCTGAGAGCGAGCGAGCACATCTCTACCCTCTCTACCGCCAATTTCCTAAACACAAACAAACATGGTTGCGTTTTGCTGGAAGTACGGTAGACGAAGTGTGTTCAAGTGTGTTTTTTCTGTATGCGTTCCAGCCAGTACTTGGCAGAGGAAGAACTCGCGGTTCCCGCCTGGTGAGAAAATCCGAGGCTGGCAAGAATTACTTCATCACTGTTGAACATCTAGGCGTGTCATGTGTCACTCTACCTCGGCACAAACACGAGACGTCATGCCATCGCATTCGGGTATTCGTAGACCTCTTTCGGGATTGATTCGAAACTCTTTGCCAGGGCCGTCCTGTAGAGCATAATCTTCTGGCTCCTATCGATTTGTCGTCGTGACTAGTTTTGGGTGCCACAAGGAAGATCGACAGGCCGTCAGTTGCAAATGGCAACGGCAATATTCGACAAGTTTGTGCCATCACAGAAACCGCCGCCCCTGCGACTATGTGGTTTTGCTCCAGCACCGGTATGATGGTGTGAGGTCTCTTCCCGATGCTGTTCCTTGTCGACTTGGTTCCTTGCTA